TCTGATTGTCTTACAAGAAACACTGAGAGTCTCTTCTGTCTCTGCTGTCTTGGTGTCTTTTCCTTGGTTCACAGGATATCTGGCAGAGCAGCTGATCTTCTTTCCATCATGTGTGTCTGACAGAGTGATGTTCTGCTGGATTTTAGTTGTAAAGCTTCCATCTGTGTTTTGCTCTATTTTTTTGTGAGAGTCTTGTTGGAGATTCCAGGTGAGTTGAGGAGGGGAGTGTGGACAGGGAGTGAGAGCTGAGCAGGTTATAGTGACAGACTCCTTCTCCTTCAGATCACCTGGGATTGTAATATTGGGCCTCCAAGGAGAATCTGTGGTTTCACATCACAGACATATTTGTAAATCAATAATTGAGAAATACAGCAAATACAGACAGAGCTCAGTGTAGGTGTTTGAAAGTCCTCATACATGTTTCTACTGTACAATTGAAAACAAATGTAAAATGTATTCAGATTATATTATTTGCAGAAAGTAGCAGACATGTTTGAGCTCTGGATTAGTGTTGTGATAATACAGGAAATACAGTCAAGACACAGAGAGTAATGTGGGACTTTTGCTGCATTCAAGGAATATATTTTATTTAATTTTTTTTTACAATATGTTTATGTCATCTATCCTCTAAATATTGTTAATTACTTATTTACTTTTTTGCAGTTTCATGTCTTTTAGGGTTTATTTTTCTCTTTCTGTTTCTTGCAGTTTTGATGGAGTCTTGGTATTTGCATAATACAGACTATAGTCCATATGTCTATGTATGTTAACATTGTGCAGTCAGGTTGTGTTTCGTATGTGTTTATAAACTTTACTAAACAACATTTATGCTGAAATGAAAACCTTTTTATTTTTGACTAAATCCTTTTATTGTCCACAATAAAGAACACAAAGAATCATCTAAATACAAAACAATTACAGAAACATATTTTTGTTATATTGGACTTTGTTGTGTTGGATTTGTTTTTTGTTGTTTAAAACAAGGCTGCATTTAACTTTATATTTTTGTTTCAATAAAAATTGCATCTAGTGATGAAAAGAAATGTATCTTACCTTTAATTTTTATTTTAAGAGGATCACAAGCAGCTGTTGCTCTGAACGGCCAGTTCATAATTCTGAAGTAGTATGTGTTTGTATAAGTTGTGGTTAAGTTGGAAAACAGAGTGGTGCAGTTTTTCTCCTTCAGGTTTCCTGTAATCTTCATTGGATAGATGTTAACTGTCCCACTGCTGTTGAAGATCTCATTGTTTGGAAATTTATTAACATTGGAGTGATTTTTAATCCACACTCCAAAGACAGCTCTTCTGATGTCAAACTTTACTGGTCCAGCAGCACTAAAGTTACATGGGATTTGTAAACATGATCCACTCAGAGCTTCCATCTCTGTTGGTGCAGTGATGAAGAGGTCTGAATACTCAGGACAAGCAGTCGAAGGCTCTGGAAAAAACAAACAAACAGAGTATATCATTAAAATGTTGAAATCTCTCAATTTTTTTCTCCTGTCCTCTCAACATCTTTAATATAAAGTTAACTGAATGTAAATGACTGAAACGAGTCGACTCACTTGGAATAAAGAGGAGACTCAGTAACATGATGCCTGTCATGATGTTCACAGACTGGACTGTCACAAAACTCATCACCTGGAAAAATATGAAAAAATACATGAATCCAGTGATGAATAAGGAACATGTAAATTCTTTTAAAAAGTAATTTGTTTTTAAAAATAGAAACACAATATCACAGTCTGATATAAACAAACAAAACTGCAAATGTGTTTTCTTACCAAATGATCAGACTGCTTCAGCAGAGAGACGACAAAATAAAAGTCAACGTGTGATTTCAGCAGAAGCAAAGTGAGTGAAACACTTCTCTGTTTGGATGTTGTAATGTCAAAGCAAACAGACGTCTGATGTTCCCATCATGCACTCCAGTTTTTCAGATGCTGTACTCCTCATCTGTCTGCCCTTAGATGTTCTGATTTTAACTGTGTTTGTGATTAATTTATAGTTTACCTGAGTTTATCAATATCTCATGTAGACACAGGATTAAAACCATAGATGCGTGAAGTAAATAACACTGATCACTGATTTCACAGTGCAATGTGCTGCTGGGTCCTTGCATCCATGTGTGTGTTACTTTGACATAAATCAATTTTAGATGCTTAAGAGAAAACAATCTTAAAGCAAACATCACACAAAAAGAAGTAATAAAGAGGCCAAATGAAGAAATTGTGTTGCAGAAAGCTGTGTGTCTACAGCTTTGTACACACACAGGTTGTAGAAACCTGTTGACCAATTTCCTCAGTGTAGAAAATATTTCTTCCTTTGCTTTGTGCTTCAGTCGAGACATTCAACCAAATGCAGATACTGGAATTTATTTAACTTTCATCATGTCTCGAGTGGCTCTTTCAGTGCCACAATTAGACACTAAACATGAGAAACTACACGCTAACAGTAAGTGCACAACACACAGACAGAAAGTATGAAGGTTAACGTCCATATGTTAACACTGAAAGGCTCAAAGGGCCCACTGGAACCCTAAGTTATTTTTCCTTAACCTTGTGTGTGTATTTTCTTCCTTCCCACTCCTCATAAGTGTTCTGGTACCCCAACATCTGACACAGACACTCATATTTTTGAGTTCGGTAGTCTTGTGTAGCATTGATTGTTTAAGCTGGGGACTGTTACTGGAGGCTTGCCCCGATTGGGAAGCTGCTGGCTAACACAAGCCAGGGCACTCTGATCATGAAGCATCCCCACCAGGATTATTTGTCTGTAACACTGTGGCTCCTCTGAAGTATCACACTTTAGGCCATTACTATTTTACTTTCCTATGTGCACCATGGTTTAATCATGAAAGCATTGTACATCCTCAGAGGGTAATTCTACAAGCACTAATAATAACATTAACCTCCTAAGACTCGAACTCTTCCACAGCATGCATTTTTAATTTCTCTTTGATATTTGGGCATATTGGGACCCGATGAATGTAAAAACAAAGAATTACCTGATTTTTGGGTTTTTTTTTTACCTGATTTTTGTTTCTAAGAAAAATGAGAGCAACATATGAGGATATTAGTTTAAAATTTCGATAGAACAGTAGCAGTATAATGTCCTCGTAAGTGGATATCAGGCTCTTCAATGCAGCACTGAACTCAATACATAATATTTAGGAAGGCAACCTGCTACTGCAGTCCAAATTTGGAAGTTGGCTTATGTTTGATAATCAAAGTAGGAAATACTAATGAAAATCTTTCAGCTTTGAGATGAGATCATAGAAGATCGTTCATTCTAGTAAATGTCCCTGGTCATGTGTGTGGAGCAGCAACATGTGATATCTATCTCTCCTCTCTTCAACTGCTGTACAAGCACTTCTTTTTCTACAGCACAGACGAGTGTGCTGCTGGTTGTTTTGAGAACTGTTCATCGAAAGTGTTTGAGCACTGACTCAAGAAACAAGCTGCGAGGTTTGTTTTCTTTTTCTCTCATGTTTAGATTATTTTTCTAAATGCATGGCTAAAGACAAAGGGTTCAGCTGCTAAGCAGTCACATAGATGTGGTTAGTACCTGACAGTTAGATTTGATAGGCTAAACTGTTGCAGGAGGAATCTCGGTTGAGAGTGATACTGAGGTTGAGCTTAATTTATTTCTTCTTCTGCTCATGATATTATTTTCTGACAAACTCAACCTGCTTTGTTTCACCATCATTTTTAACTTCATCTATATTAAAAGCAGCAAGCAAAACATACATTTCTGCCCTCATTACAAAGCACAGCTGTTTACTGAGTGAACACAAAATATCACTCAAAATATTTCCACTCAAAGGTTACTTGACAATTAGAACCAGAAGACAAATTGCTGTTTGACTATTTGGTGTTTCCTTAACACATTTAAACAAAAGACAAGAGACATTAATACATTTATTCAAAATTAAATTAAATTTTAGCTGACACACTAATTTTCAGTTATGACCAATAATATTGGAAGAAATCCTCTGCTGTTAAATATTCCTTGAATGAAATCAAGAAATTATCATTTTAATTAGAATGTACTAAAAGTGTTCAAATGAAAAAAACCTTTCTGCAGTAAATAAAGTGCTATTTTAAGGCACATTGTCCTTACTGGACGTGTTATGGTGTGACTCTGCTCTTCTATCAGTTTTCTGTCTCTGGTTTGTTGGAGTGTTTTGATGAACCATCTGACAGAAATGAAAAAAAAAAAACTTCCTTTTTGACTTATTGTAGACAAGTTAATCTGTAGATTTGTCCTTTGTTCACAATTCAAAGACATGCTCACAAGCATTAAGACTACTAGTGTCTTGGGTATATGAAGGACACCAAATAATATCTCATAATAATATGTTCACCTGTAATGCAACAAAGGTCAAAGAAGTTTGAGCCTAAAACTTCCTAAAGCATAAACATTTAGACAAAACACTGTCTCCATTACCTTGCAAGGCATACTACCAAGAAAAGAGGTAAATGATGAAAAGATTGAACTCAGTAAAATAATTATTACTAACTTTACCTTTAACAGTCGCATCAATCTCTACTGATGACCCTGATCATTAGTGGTCACACAATAATGTTACATTGAAGCTGTAAATCTCTCCTTCAGATACTTTCACAGCTCCATCTTCTTGAACCAGGTGAAGTTGCTGACACCAAATCAAATTTCAGCCATCATCTCTTACATATTAACATACTGTATAACATAATGTAGTCCATAATCACTTTGTATGATTGAGATCAGGACTCTGGGTGAGCTATTTATGTTGAGTGCAGTGATGCTGGAACAGGAAGACATGTTCTACTAGAAGGACGTCCTGAAGTAGACTCAGGAAACACAGATTCACATAATGAGAAAAGGCTTCTTACAGACAACTGTACAAGAGTTCAGTAGAGACACATATTACTTGTAGAAACACACAACAAAGAATCAGCTCTTCTGCGCCACTCTGTGATGATTCAACAGCACATGAATAAATATTAATAATTCGAATTTAAGTCATTTCCCCTTCCCATCAGCCTCAGGGTAACCTTCATTTCCTCTACTCCGTATTCCTCTCTGTCACATACTCTTGCTCACTGTCTGCTACACAGACACACGCTCTACAAAAAATGAAGTGGTTTAGTAATACATGAAGATGCTAATGAGAGTGTATCACTGTGGTATTTTAAAAATGCTATTTCATCAGCCTGAAACACACTGGCTTCCTCAAAATGCTTTCCTTACTGCTTGACAGCCACTGGTAAAACATACAATTAATCTAAGGCTTAACATTAGTAGTGCTTTTACTTACCTTAGTCCCCTTCCAGTAAAATATGTTGGTGGTAGTCTGATGGTATCGGAACTCTGCCGTCTACTAAAAAATGCTGAATGACAATGTTCAGCCATTTGTTTGAGAGCTCAAGCTAAAGCGCACTTAGGTTCAGCAGCAGGAACAGGATCCAAAACACATCAGTACGTCCACCTCCGAATGGCTTAAGTAAAACAAAATGCTGACTTCGGATCAGCCTAGTCAAAGTCTTAACCTGTACCTGAATCAGATGCTGTGGCATGACTATATAAAACAGTTCATATTGAAAACCCTCCAATGTTGCTGAATTACAGCAATTCTCCAAAGATGTGTGGGCCAAAATTCCTCAACATAGGTGTAAAAAACTCATTGCCAGTCATCGCAAATGCCTGATTGCAGTTGTTGCTGCTAAGAGTGCCCCGACCAGTTATTAAGTTTAGGGGGCAATCACCTATTCACACACAGCCATGTAGGTTTGGATTTTTTCCCCTTAATCATAAACATCTACATTTAGTATGGAAGAGGGTTAGGGTCCCTGGAAGAAAAAACAAGAAAAAGTGGGCACGTCTTTTTTTTTCAGAATTCTGGAAAAAAAAAGAGAAGATCTGAAACATGTAAGTGTGACAAAAATACAAAAAAAAACCCAAACAGGAATTCAGGAAGTAACACGTTTTCACACCATAGAGAGTCTAACGGTGTCATCTTTGGTGACATCTGGTGGTCAAAATTATGAAGAGCAGCTTAATCCTAAAAACTTGAACTGGACTGCTTCATGATGATGACCTGGGGCCCGTTCTTCGTACGTCGCTCACTACATCCAAGATCAAATGACACATCCAAGATCAAATCATCGCGCTAACCGTGAGCTCGCTAATCCGGTTCCCCGAACCCACCTGTTGTTGACGATTAGTACAGCTGGACGCAGTAATGTGACATCACTGGGTGTCGTAAAAGGGGCTACGCATCGATAGTAGAAACATTGATCGGCAACCCGCTGATTGGTCGGCGAAAATGTCGAAGGGGCGTGCTCGGTATTTTCCGGCAGCAGAGCAAGAACTCATGAGTGAGGGATTTCAGGAGTTTCAGAGTTTAATTAAAACGCAAGGGAACACTGCAAAGGCTGCAAAAGCAAGGAGAGAGGGCTGGCAGAAAGTTGCTGACAAATCAAACTCGTAAGTAATTTAATAATAACAATAATAATGGAGTGGGTTTATATAGCGCTTTTCAAGGCACCCAAAGCGCATGACAATACCACTATTCAGTCACTTTATTATTTAGCCTATTTATAGATTTATTATATTACACTATATTATCCAATATTATATTACATTATATTATATTGTCATATTATATCCCCTTTCACATTAGAGCCACAACAGGACCCACTAGAACATGGGAACAAGTAAAAGTGAAATATAAGAATATTCTACAGAATGGTAATATTTATCACTTATATTGCTTTTCGTCTCTTGGAAAGAGACCCTGAAATAATCTGTTTGTTTGTTCATAACAGCAACCAAGAAAAGGGCAGAGCAAAAAAAGACAGGTGGTGGTCCTGCACCCCCTCGTCAACAA